GGTGTGGCACTATGTGGGGGAGGCACGGAAATGTGGACTGGTTCAGCTTTTGTGTCTGTTATCTAAGGGTGGCTGAGGAATTATAGGTTGAGAGGGGAAAGGGGGGGGGTTAGTGGTTTGAGACATGGGGGGGTCATGTGACATTGCAGCAGCTGCTAGGCTGAGAATGTCTGTTTTCAGTAGCTGAGAGAGAGAGAGAGAGAGAGAGACCGAGCGAGAGAGCGAGAGAGGGGAGGGAGGTACGGAGTGAGAGATAGGCAGAATGTGTATGTGTATTGCTTTGTTAGATAAGCTCTAAACAGTCTTTGTGAAGAGGGGAGAGCAGAGAGAGAGAGCAGGCGGGCAAGCGAGCGAACGAGCGAGGGGGGAGGGATTAAAACAGAAAAGATGGTGCTTCCCCCGGCTCCCTTAAAGTGTCGGCGCTGGCGGACGATGCGGCGATGGGCGAGCGGCATGGATCCCGTCCTTTGTCACGCAGTAAGGAACTGAGGATTTTCTCTGTTTGTGTGGAGGTGCGTTTTGGGGCTGGGGAAGAGTGTCGGGACAGCGACCAGTGGCTTGTTATCAACCCGTGTGCGTTTGCGTGCGTGCGTGCGGGCGCGTGCCTCTGTGTGTGTGTGTGTGTGTGTGTGTGTGTGTGTGTGTGTGTGTGTGTGTGTGGCTGGCTCTGTGCTTCAGGGGGCATGTACCCATGGATGCTGATTGCCGGCAGTGAGGAAAGTTCCGGAACCGCCGATTGTTTGTCAGAAACCTGCAAAGCGAAAAAATAAAAAGAAAGCGGTTTGTCGTGTTCGCCGGGAGGGGGCGGGACCTTTCGACGGGGGTGGTCGCAGGCTAAGTCTGGGACAGGCGCATCGATAATTTCATTATTAATTACATGGCGCGGTTCAGGCAGAGGGCAGCGGGTGAACTACCGGCGTGTGTGCGGTTCAAATTGCAGCCCTTCTTCCCTGGAGGGGCCCCCCACCCTGACCGTGGTGATGAATCTTAGAGAGCAGCCTGAGAACGCTGGGGAGATGCCCTCGGGTTTGTGCCACTTTAGTGGGTCAGACTAAAGCCAGGAGTAGCAGGGGTGGCCTCCCTTTGTTGCAGGACCCCCCCCCCCCATCCTGACCCTTAACATCGTCACGGCCTTGTGGGAGCGGGGGAGGGATCGACCATTCCACTCTGATTCCCGCTGGGTCTCTCTCCTTCCGGGATGCTCTTCCGAATGGAGTCTGCTGTTCAGCTACCTTCTGCGGATACCTGTGGGTGTGGGGGGGGGCAGACCCTCCGTGTAGACAGCAAAGGAGTCTCTCCTCCTGGAAACCTGCTTCTGCTCCTCTCTGGTGACGGAGAACCAGCAGGGGGTCGGGGTCCTTAAGGGAAGCACTGACCCAGACGTCATAGTAGGTGCAATGGTGAGAGTGTGGTTTGTGAATCAGACACTGGTCATGATGATGATGATGGTGGTCGGTTTACAAAACGCAAGCCAGCTGTTGTCTGAGTGTGTAAAGAAGTGCTTTCTCAAATTCAGTAAGAACATAAGAAATTTACAAACGTGAGGAGGCCATTCGGCACATCAAGCTCGTCTGGGGAGAACGTAACTAATAGCTCAGAGTTGTTAAAACCTTATCTAGCTCTGATTTAAAGGAACCAAGGGTTTTAAAGGAACCAAGGGTTTTAAAGGAACCAAGGGTTTTAGCTTCCGCTACACTAGCAGGAAGACTGTTCCATACTCTAACTACACGCTGTGTAACAAATGGAATTGGAATTGGAGTGGAAGGTCTGCTGGTGCAGGAACAATGAGGGGATGGAGCCAGTCTCCGGGCCGGCCCTGGACCCGCCTCCGGCTGTCCTGCCTGGACAACCCCCCCCTGCCGGCGTTGATGTCAGCACCTGACGGCTGCGAGAAGCACCGGCTATAAACGCGAGGACAATGCCCTCTCAGAGCTTCGCCTGAACGTCTCCCTCTCCTCTTCCAGGCATGAGCCATGAGCCAAAGTCACCATCCCTGGGAATGATCTCCACAGCAACCCGCACCACGGCCACGGTCAGCCCTCTGACCCCCACACCCCTCAACGGCTCCATCGTGCCCAATGGCAGTCCGGCAACCCAATCTCACTCGGGATTCGCCGCCGCGCTGCGCAAACTTGCCAAACAGGCCGAGGAGCCCAGAGGTAAGCTCCGCCTCTCCGCCGCCCCACTGCGGGCCTGTGACCCACCCACTGCGGGCCTGTGACCCACCCACTGCGGGCCTGTGACCCACCCACTGTGACCCGAGCCCGGCTGACCACCGCTGCACCCGCCGTTTGACGTGACGTCCCGTGAAAGGGGGGCGTTGGCCTGCCCTGGGGGGCACTGCAGGCGCGCTAATGCCACCCAGCTGGATTTACTAGAGCTTTGTGTTTTTGTTCCTTCCACCTGGTCCGGCGTTTCCTTGGTGACCTGCTTTCGTCCCGTTAACCCGGGAGCGGGAAAGAAAACACCCCGAAAGTGATGCCGTCAAACCGCTGTGCGAATGGGAGGGGGCCGGAAAACAGAAACAAAACTGCCACTTCAAGCTAATTTCTTCACCCCGAGTGACCTGTTCTGGAGGATTTATTACAGCCCCTTTAATATATGACAGGAATGTGAGATGACTCACCACAGCCGCTGGGGAGCTGAGTAGCGGTTGGTGCAGCCGGTGGTGGCTGTCTGGCCACTCCGCATGGGGCGCGGTAGGGTTTGGGATGGCGGTCCGAATACCGGCACGACGCAGAGACCCTGTATCCATCAGCGCTGTCCCCACACTGCACCTCATACTGTACCTCATACTGCCCCCTCATACTGCACCTCATACTGCACCTCATACTGCACCTCATACTGCACCTCATACTGCCTCCTCATACTACACCTCACACTGCACCTCACACTGCACCTCACACTGCACCTCATACTGCTCCCTCATACTGCACCTCATACTGCACCTCACACTGCACCTCATACTGCCCCCTCACCTCCCTCAGGAGACGAGGTGTGGCGGTGGCAGGCAGGCCTTCCCGTCGCGCCGGTGGAGGCCTGCTCTTCCATTCGGGCATGTAGGGCACGCTGACTGAGCCTCTGGCTTTTTGTGATGAGCGGCTGGTTTTTCCAGCGACTCTCGTTGTCACAGTGCCATCGAGGTTGCCGGAATGTTCCCCCTGCTGTCGAGGCTCCGTGATCCGGACCTCCCCCGTTTGCCTGTCTTGCCAGAGAGCTCTGATGACAAATGGAACCTCTCCCCCCCACACACACACCCCCCCTCACCTTAATCGGCTTGTTAGGCCTGACAGCAGCAGTGAGGAAACCTCAGAGGAGGTGGCTTCCCAGCAGGCGTCCAGGTTGTGTGATGTCCACAAAGGCCTGGCGGCCTCCCCCCATGAGCCCTGTGTGTCAAGAGCAGCATTCCCTGAACCCCCCCAATCGTGTCCTCATGGCTGCGTGTTTGCTGAGCTGGAACAGGCGCGTGTGGGCCGCCTATAACACAAGTCCGGCTGCTATTTTTACCGAGCCGGGCCTTTCTCTGCCGTGGGCGGCGAGTAAAATCAGGTCGGCGAGGAAGACGTGCCGCGATTAAGTCAGCACCTTTAAATAAAAGATGTGCCCCCCATTCTGGGAGAGCTGTTTGACCCTTGCACAGTTTGCTGTGGGGAGAGCGTGCACTGAGTCATTCACCTGGCAGCCGCGGTGGGAGGGGCGTGTGAGGCGGAACCATCTCGCTGTTCCTGAAGCCTGAGAGGAAGCGAAAGGAGCCGCCAGTCCAGACGGCAGGTGACTCGGAGCTGCCCCCCCTCCTCCCCAGCACCTGGCTACAATTCCATCCCTTCACATGTCTGCCCTCCTTTGTCCTTGGTCAGTGTCATTATCGCAGGAAGCAGGAAATTCATTATTTTCCCAATGCATGCTGGGAAACGATTCTGGCCGCGGTGCCCTTTCCTCCCCATGGCCGCCCTCAGGCTGAAGTCAGAGGCTGAAGCGTGCGTTCATCCCTGCAGTTACCCTGCCGTGAATCCCAGGGGGCGCCACCACCGAGCGTGACAGGGCAGCTGTGAGTGGGATGTGTGTGGGATATCGAAGGCGGGTTCCGTTGTTTATCCGCTGAGTAAGAGATGCGAGTCGGGCAGCCCTGGCCGAATTTAGCTTTAATTACTACAGTCATCACTGCCAAGCCCCCCCAGCCATTGAGCCCCCCTACTCCTAATTAACAAGACAGGTCCACGAATATGAAAGCTTTCGAAGCACCGGCCCCTGTCCCCCATGGCACATTTAGGGGGGGGGGGCATCGGAGGGTCAGGGACTGCCCCGTGTCCCCGGGGGTCAGCCCGGGCTGCGAATGGGTGCCCTGTGCCCTGGGGGGGTGGATTGTTTTGTGCCTCCAAAGAGACAGGGAGTTAAAAGGCCACTGGGCTCCGACCCCCCAATCTGTGGACGTGAGCTCAGACAACGGCACCGCCCCCGAAACGTCTGGCTGTTTACCCGCCGGCTAGT